GACCCCGCACCCCTCCCCCCCAGGCCTGGGTGTGACCAGGGTCCGCTGGGCCCCACTCACCATTGGGGTCTTTGGCCAGAAGGTTCTTGGCACGCATGACAGAGACTTTCAGGGCGTACGAGGGGGCCTGTGGGCAGAGGGGCACGGGGGGCCTGGCAGGGCTGAGCTGCCCCTCTGGACACCTGCTCAGCATAGACATGACAGGGCCTGGCCTCGTGCCCCCACCACCCCCAGGGCCCTGGCATGCGGGCACAGCGGTGGCCAGGCCCCGCTGAGGCGGGCAGTGGCCTTCCTTACCTTGGCCGCCTTCACATGCCCAATGGCCTCGGCGTGCTCCTCAGGGCTGGTGCCAAACACCTGTGGAGGGCGGGCAAGTGGGAGGGGCCCAGGGGACCCCTGAAGCGGGGCTAGCCACTGCCCTGGGGGCCTCAGGTTCAGCCCCAGCCAGGAGGGTCAGCGCACGGAGGCAGGGAAACCCACTCTGCTGCGTGGCTGGGAGGGCAGCTGGCGGGTCTGTGCCAAGGAGTGTGAGTCACACCCACGGACGGTGGGTGTGAGTGGGGCACACCAGTGCGCATGGAGAAGTGGGGGTCGCAGCGTGCTGGCCAGGGACAGGGAGTTCAGGGCAAGCGCAGGTGAGGAGGGAAGGTGTGTGTCCATCTGCCCGTCCTTCTGGGAGAGTCTGCGTATCTCTCCTCCCTAAGCTGTGTGTCCACGGGTCGTCCACCCCTCCTCTGTCAGCCTGCCTGTGTGCTGCTGTGCACATACATGTCTGTGACACGTGCTGCCCTCTGTGCGTGTTGTGCGTGGGTGGTGGCAATCGTGTGCCGTTCGGGTGATGGGGATGTCAGTGGGGGGTTGGGGCAGGGAGGGGTCTCGGTCCTCCCCAAGGCGGGCTGCCAGGGCTCACCTGTTGAAGGTAGCCCAGCAGGGCCTCCTGGTCGTCCACCTGGTCGGGGCCCATGGTCCCCGCACGGTAGAGGACCGTGTACAAGGCTTCCTCGTAGAGCATCTCCACCTGCACGGGGAGCAGGCCCTGAGCGTCCAGCCCATGTGGGGGTCTCGGCTCCTCCTGTCCACCCCTCGAGTGCCCAAGCCTGGGAAGTTCCTTCACCGGCCACGCCCAGCCCCTGCCCCAGTCCCTTTGCACCTGGGGGCCTCCACTCCTCCCCACGCATCCCACCCCCCTTTGCTGTCCACCTGTCACCAGACCCTGGGCACACAGTAGGTGCTCATAAATGGCTGGGGGCCCTACCTGGGGCAGCACCCCCTTACCTCCTCCTGGGCCAGGACTCTCAGGCCCCGGTTGGGGTCCACGGGTTCAGCAGGGGCTGGAGAGCTGCTGCGCAAGAGGACCTGTGGGAGGTGCTGGGGTGAGGACCTCAGGTGCCCCCGGGGCTGGGCTGGCTGGACAGCGGGTGCTCCAGGGAGGAAGGCACAGGAGGGGGTGCAGGCCGGCCGCAGGAGCTGCGTCCTCACCTCGGGGCACGGCAGGCCCTGCCTGCCTTCTCCCTTCTTCAGGAGGAGGCGCATCTGCGCGAAGAACTCCACGCCGTCCCCGGGTTTCCTGGGAGAAAGGCCCAGGTCAGCTCTCAGCCCGCAGCACGTGCCCGCCCCAACCCCAGCCATACGACTCCGGGGTGCGTCTGGAGTGGGGCAGCGTGCGTCCAGCGTGCTGTGGCCTCCCAGTGACCCCTGCCCAGCCAGGCGCACGACCCTCGAGTTCGGCCCCTGGGGAACGCACCAGGCCCCCGTGGCAGGCTCCCGCGGGTCGGCATTGGTGCTCTCCGGCTCCTGCTCGGCCCTGCGGCGGAAGGACGGGCACACCTGTACCTGCCTGAGCACGCTGCTCTTGATCTCCAGCAGGGCGGACATGGTGGGCCACCTGCGGCAGAGAGCGCAGCCTTGGGTCGTCGGCACGGAGGCTGGTGAGGGCACGGAGCCCACACACAGCCCTGGCTGTGCCCGCACCCAAGGGGCTGTGAGGCTCCTGCAGCCACGCTTGCCGGGTGACCTGCCGAGGAGCCCGAGCGTCCCCTGCTGGGTAGCTTCAGGGATGTGGTGGTAGAAGGTGCCAGAGGTGATGGCAGTGCCACTCTGGGCGGGGGCTCCATCCCAGAGCTGCCAGGGTCTCATTGGGGAGGGACGTGTTTGCCGCACTCAGGCCAGGGCAGGTGCCTGATGCTTGGGCCTTGTATGCAGGAAGCAAAACGGTGGCCAGAACCCCAGATGTCCCGGTACTATGGCAGGGCACAGGTGGGAAGGGCACAGTGGGGCCCTGTCACCTGGACAGCAAGGAAACCTGTGGCCTGGGCCTCAGCCCACGTGCCCAGGGCTCACATGGCCAGGATGCCCCAGAGGGGGCCGCCCCGGGGTCCTCACCCTCCGGGAACAGCTGCGGTCAATGCCTCACCCTCACGCCAGGGCCCCGTCAGCACACCCGGGGCCAGTGCCCCAGGGAGCAGGACCTGCCCCTTACAGTCAGCCCCAGCGGCTCTCACGCCCTCCGGGCTCATCCTCTTCCATCGCC